GGCTACTTTCATCTGGTTAATTGCTCTGAATTTGTTTTATAAGGTAGCCACCAATACTTAATGATTTTTATGGCTCTTAGCTGGATGAGTGCTTATTGTCATTACAGCTAGACGTTTTAGAAGGGCAGCAAAGTAAATAGCTTGTTAATCATTATATCAACTGTTTTTGTAATGATTTTGAACTGAAACTGGTATATCCCCATCATAATTGATTTCTTGATTGGGTGATATTGTTGAACTGACCTGTTAAAATCTGAATATGGATTCGTAATAGCATGTCTGGAGTAGTCTGAATGGAGAAAGAGGTGAGGTTATTTCGATCTGTTAATTTTCTCTTTGGTCAATTATGTTTTTTTATCTTGCTGTTTGTACGTGTTGATATCTTAGTAGCGTTTCTGTAATTTTTAAACTTCTTCTTGTAATCTCTGTATATGTAAAAGCTTCATTAATGTTCAGTCAGTTCTTAATTCTTCTTGAAATATGACATCTTCTTCTAACTTTTCTCTTGAATTCCTATTTTATATCTCTTGATTTTCTAATTTTCTATAGTCTTCTTTATGGTCCTTTTTATTGTTCTATTTATTTCCATGTTTCCTTATTTTATTGATCTATTCATCTTCCATGTTTCCTTATTTTATTTTTCTATTCATCTTCCATATTTCCTTATTGTATTGAGATATATTCATCTTCCATGTTTCCTTATTGTTCTATTCATCTTCCATATTTGCTCATTTTATTGTTCTATTCATCTTCCATGTTTCCTTATTTTATTGTTCTATTCATCTTCCATGTTTCCTTATTTTATTGTTCTATTCTTCTTCCATATTTGCTCATTTTATTAATCTATCCATCTTCCATGTTTCCTGATTTTATTGATCTATTCATCTCCCATGTTTCCTTATTTTATTGTTCTATTCATCTCCCATGTTTCCTTATTTTATTGTTCTATTCATCTTCCATAGAATAGAATAGAGATAGGACTTTTGGGGGATCATAAAGGAAGGCTAGTATATGATGATTATGAGATGGCTGGGTTATTAAATTTTACTTTTTTCGGTTTATACTAATGAAGATTTAAGCAGTATTCCTCATCTTGATCTGTTGAAAAATCGAAACGAAATCAAACAAGATGACTGCATTAATTCTGAGCCGTTTAAGAAAAAATTGGGAAGTTTAAAAAAATGATAAGTCTCCTGAGCCAGATAATATTTCCTCAAACGTTTTGAAGGAGGTTAAAGATTGGATATGTGAGCCACTTGCTAGTATTTTTTGTCAGTCCTTGAATAATGGGCAGGTACCAGAGGATTGGAAGTTAGCTTATGTAACTCCTCTTTTTAAGGAAAGTGATCAAAATTGTCTCAGTAATTATAGATCCATTAGTTTTGCATCAGTTGTGGGAAAGTTTTACGAGTCTTTTAAAAGATGCTTTGCAAAGTCATTTAACAAAGTTTAAAAGTTTATTGGATAGCCAACATGGTTTCACTGAGGGAAAATCTTGCCTTACAATTTTTTAACATTCTTTGAAAAGGTTATTGTTCATGTAAATGAGGATAATGGTGTAGATTTGGTGTATGTGGATTTTCAGAAAGCATTTGACAGGGTGCCACATAAAAGGCTTGTAACAAATTAGCTCTCAAAGTGTGGGGGATAAGTTAGCAAATTGGATAGAAGAGTGGCTGGATGGAAGAAAGCAGAGGGTTGTTATAAAAGGAGTTCAGTC